TCCGAAAGAACAAAGCCCAGGACACAGTCTTCTCAAGTGGGTGTGTATTTGCCTAATACACCCACCGAGGTCTTCTTTTAGGTGCCCTGCGATTGCCCGAGCTGTCCTACTAAGTAGCTCAAGGCAACTTTTGATCGAAAATTTCTATAGTCTAAGAAAAAGCTCTCCCACACCCGGACTGCTCCAAGTGCACGAGAGTAGGGAACAACTTTTCTTCTCAAGTGAGTGTGTATTTGCCTAATACACTCACCAAGATCTTTCTTTTTTTGTTCCCGGATTGCCCGAACTTTCCTATTAAGTAGCTCAAGGCAACCACACAACCAAAATCACAATCAAAAAACATTTTTGTTCGGGTACTTCTTTTACATCCGATCTAGAATCCAAAGTTGATCACGAATTTCTGGGTCAAAATGGGTTCCTATGATCCTAATACACACGCCTAATGTCCTAATATGATCTTTATTAAATGGATATTTCCCGTCTCCCAAATTGCCACAGAAGGTTTCCTCAAGTTTCTAACAATGAGGGTTGCTAAGATGTTTAAGTCACTCCAGTTGGTTACTTCGGAGGGTTGTTAAGACACTTAGCCTACCTCGGAGGGTTAATTCGGAGGGTACCTTAATCACCCAAGTTACTTCGGAGGGTCCCCTTAAATTTACTAAGGAGGGTCAATAATATGCTTAATATGCTCCGGAGGGTTACTTCGGAGGGTACCTCCAAAATTTTCAAATTTCTGAACCTCACTTAGAAGGGCCTTCAATTAACTTCAGGAAGCGTCAAAACAAGCTAAATTCTCTATGGGGGGGCTGTTTTAACTTCTTTGGATGATCTGGTGGAAGTTTTCCACTAAGGAGGTTTGCTAAGGGGTTTAGCTGACTCCGGAGGGTTACCTCGGAGGGTTACCCAAAAATCAAGAAAAAAGGTTATGTTACCGCGATAAAGTCTCCAAAAGCGGTCCATCTGACTTAAAACTAGGTTGGCTGACACGGTCAACCTTCCCAGTAGGATAAAAAGGTGTTTTGATAAAATTTTCTGCCGCTCGGAGGGTTACCTGTAATTTGGACCCTCCGAACCAACAAATTCTAAAAAAAATTTTTTTTCCGAGATTATCAACCCAAAAAAGGTTGCGGTCCGGAAAAATGATCCAAAACGTCGACTTATGGTACCAAAATTATCCCGATCGGTTGGCTAGTTTTTGAGAAATTGCCAAAAACGTGTTTGTCCAAACGGCCTTTTTTCACCACCTATAGGTTCTGAGAAACTTTTTCCACAATTCCTATTGAAAGTGCCTGAAAACAATTGAAACGAGCGTAGTAGCCCTGTACGGCACTGGAATAGTGCAAAAAACTGGATCAAAATTGGTTTGGAGACAAAAATTTGGCCAATAACCATCAAATTTGGACCCTCCGATTCCTTCCTTTTCCAATCCTTAAGTCGTTAGCTCTATCCACGGAGCTAATCGGAGGGTTACTCAAGAATTTTTCTGGCAGCCGAGCACGCTATGCTAGCACGCTCCTAACACAAAAAATTTTATTGCTCTAACTCTAAAAACTCAAAAACTCAATCCCCAAAACAGATTGACAAAATTCAGAAAATTATCGAAATTTTGATCGAAAAATTTTGGTTTTTTCCAACTTCTACTGAGTATTCTCTCACGCGGTTTCTTTAGTTAGGGGGATCGAACTACGTAGCTACTCCCTATGTAAAAGCTTTTTGCTGTTCGGAAAAGCTCGGATATCCAAAAATTTGGGGGTCTATAGTTTGTCAAAAATCGATAATTTTCGACGAAATTTGGGTGTTTCTTGGGTCCAATTAGGAGATAAGTAATATATAATAAGGATAATAACCTATTAGTAGTCGTTAATAAATAGTACTATACCCTCCTTTGCACCAAAATATCCGAATTAAGACCCTTAACTCGGAAATTTGTAATCGATGGAGGGTACAATCGGACCGCGCCAATCGTGCCCCCCACCACTTAAATTTTGGTGAAATAGTACCCGAACGATACCAAAATTGTTTCAACGATACCCAACAGTCGTTGTGGATGTTGTCCTTGATGTCCTTGTTGAGTGTGGAACACGTCGGTCAGCTTGCCACTCTACCCTCCGGTCACCGGCAAAATCACCATTAACGTGCTTAAATACTCAAATTACACTCAAGGGAGGGTATCCAACCCTTCACCAAAACACACAATCTTTCTATCAGAAATGATATAGATCAATCTGAAACAACAACAACTAGGAAGGTCAGATCACATCTCGTCCGGAAACAACATATAAACTGTCACTTTATGTTTTTTACTGTTTTTGGTCTTTTTTTGGATTTTTTACTGTTTTTTGTACTTTTTTGTTTTCAAATAAATTTTTTTTTGGCTTTTTCTTGGTTATACACTGTTTTTGTTTGGTTTTACGCTTTCTCTTTAATTGTTTTTGGTCCCGGGACCTTGGGACAAGCGGGCTCATGACTTCCCACCTAACCCTCCGGTCCCCGAAATTTTCGGTGTTAACTAAGTTAAAAAGCTAAATAGTACTAGACGGAGGGTACGCACCTTCCCCCTAGTACAATAACGGTCATTAAGGCCTCTAACTCGGGCATATGCCCGGAGCGGAGGGTTCGTCGCTGAAACGCTTGCTGATCATGATGGTCTTATGCCTTTGACAGGTCCACCCAGGAGCGCCATAAAAACGTCTATGTAACATTCGCCCAAATACTACACAGCGACGGAGCGTAGAAAAAGTACCTATTAACGACTGGCAGTTGTCAGTTACCTTAATCCTACTCGTTTTTCACCGTCTCGACCTTGCCAGTTGATTTTCTGGTCTGTTTAGAGCTAAGTAAAAAGTTACTATTTTTAGGCCATCAGTCAAACGACTTTTGATCAGCTTTCGTTTACATGCGAACACAACCACATAGCTGAGTCTCAGATCCTCAGACTAAGTAATTGCTATTAAAAACACGGCTCGAACAACCTGTTTTAATATGTTTTTGTGTGACAGTTCTATATTAAATCCATTGGAGATGGATTGACCCTTTCCTCTCTCTAGCTACTCATATTCTAAAATATCAAATTATACCGGTGTTAATTCAGAATTCTACGACATCCAAGTAGCTACAAAGTCAGCTTTATATAGTCCCTTCACGTAAAACAGTCTCTGGGGGACCAAGCCTCCGCTCCCGTAATCTTCCTGAGATAACGTTCTTATCTCTTCCAATTTGTGGCACGGCAGGGTACCGTGGAATATTCCTTCCCCACTGAAGCTTCCTTCTCCACTAATATCCACTGCTAAGGTTCGTATCGTGTGTTATTGCCACGATAAGAGACTCCGTTTTCTTCGTGTTCCCGCACGACCATTTCTCACTATATTTGTTGTTGTTCTATTTTTTCGTCGTTTTTCGTCAAAATGGCCGTCTTTTTTGTATTTCTGAGAAATATCCACTCTTCAATCGAAGTTTTAAAAATAAAAATTCTAGAATATTCCTACCCTCCTTCGCAATAATTTTTCGTTAATAAGGCCTTTATTCGTTTTTTTTCGTGTCGCCGGAAGGTTGCGCTGTGCCATCTGGCAGAATGGCACAGCTTCCCACCTAACCCTCCGGCCCCCGAAATTTTCGGTGTTAACTAAGTTAAAAAGCTAAATAGTACTAGACGGAGGGTACGCACCTTCCCCCTAGTACAATAACGGTCATTAAGGCCTCTAACTCGGGCATATGCCCGGAGCGGAGGGTTCGTCGCTGAAACGCTTGCTGATCATGATGGTCTTATGCCTTTGACAGGTCCACCCAGGAGCGCCATAAAAACGTCTATGTAACATTCGCCCAAATACTACACAGCGACGGAGCGTAGAAAAAGTACCTATTAACGACTGGCAGTTGTCAGTTACCTTAATCCTACTCGTTTTTCACCGTCTCGACCTTGCCAGTTGATTTTCTGGTCTGTTTAGAGCTAAGTAAAAAGTTACTATTTTTAGGCCATCAGTCAAACGACTTTTGATCAGCTTTCGTTTACATGCGAACACAACCACATAGCTGAGTCTCAGATCCTCAGACTAAGTAATTGCTATTAAAAACACGGCTCGAACAACCTGTTTTAATATGTTTTTGTGTGACAGTTCTATATTAAATCCATTGTAGATGGATTGACCCTTTCCTCTCTCTAGCTACTCATATTCTAAAATATCAAATTATACCGGTGTTAATTCAGAATTCTACGACATCCAAGTAGCTACAAAGTCAGCTTTATATAGTCCCTTCACGTAAAACAGTCTCTGGGGGACCAAGCCTCCGCTCCCGTAATCTTCCTGAGATAACGTTCTTATCTCTTCCAATTTGTGGCACGGCAGGGTACCGTGGAATTTTCCTTCCCCACTGAAGCTTCCTTCTCCACTAATATCCACTGCTAAGGTTCGTATCGTGTGTTATTGCCACGATAAGAGACTCCGTTTTCTTCGTGTTCCCGCACGACCATTTCTCACTATATTTGTTGTTGTTCTATTTTTTCGTCGTTTTTCGTCAAAATGGCCGTCTTTTTTGTATTTCTGAGAAATATCCACTCTTCAATCGAAGTTTTAAAAATAAAAATTCTAGAATATTCCTACCCTCCTTCGCAATAATTTTTCGTTAATAAGGCCTTTATTCGTTTTTTTTCGTGTCGCCGGAAGGTTGCGCTGTGCCATCTGGCAGAATGGCACAGCTTCTGTAGAAACTGCTGCTTCTCATTACATTAATTCAAGTTTTCTTTCTTCTCCAACGACAACAAAAATAATTAATTCCCTTATTCTACATTTTTGTGTTGCACAACACGCACAATGGCGCGCAGTTAGAAATTGTATTAATATTAGCTTGCTCGACTGTAATGCCAAGCTTTTAAATGACAACATAATTTATATTTTTACTACATCCGCCTCTGCAAAATGACGCTAAATCAAAATTTGATTGAAAATTGAGTTTCGATGGAGCGATAATGTCCTTTCCTAAAAGTTTATCACAACTTTTAGCCTAATTGTTGTGATAAACTTATTAAATAGATTTGTTATGTTTGATGTTTGTGCCTGTATGTGGAGCGCCCTCTGAGGGATTTTAGAGACAGGTCTGTCAAGTGGCTTTCTGTGGGGAGGTGGGGAACTGGAACTTGCTTGAGAAGTCTGGTGGTGCGCCGCTGAACCTACTGAGCTCGGGTGAGATTGTTCCTTGATTTTGATTTTTAACCTTTATGCTGCCTTTTAACCTTTTAAATTAATTTAGTTGTCTTTTTTTTTATTTGCTTATTTGTAAAATTCCCACTAACCGCTTATCATGGGTTAGTTCAGTCCCCTAAAGTCCAGTCAAAATCCTTTTTTTTACCTTTATGCTGCGTCAAGATGAGGAAAAACAACAAAGAGTGTACAAGCAAAGATTGCTTAAAACCTTCAGGACTGATAAATTGGATTAAATGTGATTGTTGTTCTAGTTGGTATCATATCAGTTGTGTAAATATTTCTCTTAGCGACTCTAAGAAAACCCAATGGTTTCAGTGTCCTTTATGCGTTGATGTAAAATCTAATAATAAAACAACAATAGGTAATGATTTAGTGCTAGACAATTATGTTAATACAGCCATCTCAAATGTCCGAGTACTCAAGAGAGTACCAAAAGACTCGCGTGTTCCCTTGGCGGAAAATCTGTCGGACAAAATAAATGACATCGTCTACAATGTAGAAGATGTTACAAAATGGCTAATTTTTTTAACGTCGTTCTTGTTTTTTTTGGAGCAACCGAAAAGAAGTGGACGCAAACAGACCGCAAGCATGAGCTCTTTGATAAATAAAAAAATTCGAGCAAATGACGTGTCACTTCCAAAACCCCATCCCCAAGTTTCAAGCCCGCCTCTGAGTGACCTCGAGCAGAGAATAAAGTTAATAAGTAGTAAGCTCGATGAAGGAAATGTAAAGGGAGGAATAAGGCTTGCTGCTTCGGATGACAAAATAGCTCCTTTTTCAACTGATAACTATCAAAAATTGTTATCTAAGCACCCGCAGCGAGCCAAATTTGCAGCTCCAAATCCAGAAAAGTTGGATAGTTTTTTCGTAACCGATTTCGACCTATACAAAGCGATAATGTCCTTTCCAAACGAATCAGCAGCAGGTCCTGATAAAATATTTCCTCAAATTTTTAAAGATCTTGTTAGTAAGTCGAATGGCAGTGCAGGACTTAATTTTCTGAAATCGCTTACTAAGCTGATAAACCTCATTGGAGATGGCAAAATACCGGAACCACTAAGACCTTTCTTTTTTGGCGCAAAGCTTATCGCCCTCATAAAAATAGACGGAGGGTTGAGACCGATTGCCATAGGCAACACGCTGAGACGTATCGCGTCTAAATGCGCTGGAAGCAAGGCCCTCTCCGAGGGACAAAATTGTTTCGGAAACGTACAGGTAGGATGCGGTACCAAACGAGGAGCAGAAATAGCTGCGCACTCGTTTCGAAACCTAATTGAACGCGACGACAATCCAAAATGTACTGTTCTTTTAAAACTAGATTTTAAGAATGCCTTTAACTCTTTAAACAGAGAAACAATGCTGAATCTTGTTTTTTCAAATCGCCCCGAATTATATAATTACACCCATTGCGCGTATGCTAAACCTAGTTACCTTTTTTACGGAAGCTCTGTCATAATGTCAGAAGACGGAACTCAGCAAGGTGATCCTGAAGCCCCACCCCTTTTTGCGGAAACAATTCATACACTAGTCAAACAGTTGGAGTCGAAAATTAACATCTGGTATTTAGATGATGGGAATTTAGCCGACGACTATAAGGTAGTACTCCGGGACCTTAAAAACATTCTGAAATCGGAACAAATTTACGGTCTGAGCTTAAACACTGAGAAGTGTGAACTTTGTTTTTTGGGACCGACTACTAGTACACAGTATAATTCAATTTTAACACAATTTCGAAAAATATGCCCCAAAATAAAAATAAAAACAAAAAAAGAACTCCTCATTTTAGGATCTCCAATCGGCGAACTTTGCCGAAAAGAATTACTCGACGAAAAAATTAGGGAGCTTGAAAAAATCTCGGATGTCATTGACAAACTAGACGCCCATTATGGTTTTTACCTCCTGAAAAATTGCTTTAGCATGCCAAAACTCCTATATTTTTTGCGTACGAGCCCTTGTTTTTTGCAAAATGATTTTTTGGAACGCTACGATAAATTACTAAGAAATTCGTTATGCAAGGTCACTAACGTGAAAATGGATGATAACCAGTTTTTACAAGCAGTTCTCCCGGCAGCCAAAGGTGGCTTGGGCGTTTCTTCCGCTCGTCTACTCGCTTTACCCGCTTTCTTAGCCTCAGCAGTAGGAGCGAAAGATGCCTTGAGCGAAATCTTTGGTTTGGAGCATGTGGATGGAACCTATGATGATGCGCTTAAACGGTGGTTTGACCTTGGAAAAATTGAAATGGCTCCGGAAAATGAAATCCAAAAAAATTGGACGGAGACAATTTTTGACAGCGAAATTGCAGACTTGATTTTACGACTCGAACCAACGGACGTGAAAAGGTTCAACGCGTTCCAAGATAGATTTGGATCCCAATGGTTGAACGTCATCCCCTGCAAAAATTTAAGGTTAAAACTGTCGAACCAACAACTCAGAATTGCGATAGGACTTCGATTAGGATCAAAAATATGCGAACGGCATAAATGCGTGTGCGGAAAAGACGTTACCGAGGATGGTTGGCATGGTCTTTCTTGCCTCAAAAGTGCAGGGAGATTCTCTAGGCATTCAAACCTGAATGCCCTTATAAAGCAGAGTCTATCATCTACTCACATTCCGTCTGTTTTAGAACCACGACACCTCTACAGGACCGATCAGAAGCGACCAGACGGTTTGACGCTCGTTCCATGGGCTGATGGTAAGCAGCTCTTGTGGGATGTAACGGTAGTAGACTCCTTAGCTCCTTGTAGGATTAATGCCGGGTCTGTTTGTAACCCTGGTACGGCTGCCGCTGAAGCGGAAGAGCGAAAAATTGACAAATATAAAGATCTTGTAAATGATGGATATCTTTTTCAACCGCTAGCTTTTGAAATTCAGGGTGCGGCCGGCCCCAGCACAGAAGTTTTTTTGAGCAAGCTTTGTAAGAACCTAAGCATATGCACTGAGGAACCCAGAGCAGGCAGCTTTTTAAAACAGAGAATCTCCCTGGCAATACAGATTGCGAACGCCGCTTGCGTACTCGGAACAATAAATGACAAAATAACTTTCGACGAAATTTTTTACTTGTAACACTTGTATATTATATTATCTCGTGTCGAGTTGCGTGTTCTTATTGAAGAAGCGTAACCCGTATCGATTTTAAATGAAAAGGACTTAAACACTTGACATCTTCTTTTATCATTATCACTTCCATATCTAGAAAATTCCAAGGATTTTGACTGGAATACATGATGAAGGGACTCATGACTGTAACCTCGGTTACTATGATACTTTTGACCTTCTGATTACACCATTGAAAAAAAAAAGTCTAATAGTAATTACTATAAATTTCCAAACAAAGTAGTTTTTTCAGAAGTTTGTCGGTATGATGTTCATAGTGTGACTATTATGATGTCAAGAAATGGATCGAGTTCAAATGACAATGAGAGTGTTAATCAACAGGGCACAACTGTTCGATATCCTGTATATTTGAATACGAATCCTCGAAAAAATTATAATATTCTCAAATTTTCTACATCTGTTGATTTTTCGCAATGGAAGGATGTCAAGGCTTCGAGAGACCTCTCGATGAAGAAGGTTATGGAATATCAAAAAAGTCAAGCTGATGAAATGCCTGAATTTGGAGCGGGAAGTGAGTTTGGTAAAAAAGCTAGAGAGGAAGCCTGGAAACGAAGACGAGGCATCAACATGAAAAAGAAATTGTCAATCAAGGACATGCCTTTAAAATTGAAAGTGGGGCAGAATAAAAGGTAAGATGTGTTTTGAAAACTGTTCTGCATTTTATGAAATAGATTTGAACATTGACGTCAGGGCCGTGCAATTAAATTGTCAGATTTTCAATTAGCTTAGAAGGTTTGGAGCATTTCAATTTTGACAAAAAAGGAAAACTAAAAAACAATTTTTGTTCCGACCATCGAAAATGAAGGGGAACTGTTTTAGTTTTTCGCCCAAAAAATAGCTATTAAAAACAATCATGGGAATGGATCGAGTGATATATGTTGTTGTTATTGCTCCGTGGACTACTCTGAGAATATCTCCTCGAGTTCTTCTACGACTAGTAGGGGATTTTTCCACAAATCTTCGATGGTAGCAGATATTGGGTTGGCCGGGCAGTTGAACAGATGGTGGCAGTCTTCGATGCTGGAGTTGCATTTGCTGCAGAGCTCTGATTCAATGTCCGGTTGTAATCGGTGTCTGATTTCGGCTAGTTTCCATGAGAAACCTGATCTAAGCTGACACAATTCTTCTGTCGTAACGGCTAAGTTCTTCGTCTTTCGATGTCTCAGGAGGGGGTCTTTTTAAGACTCTGTTCTGCTGGCTTTTGGCTCTCTCTTCGGCGACTGCATGTGTGTGTAGCTGTTTCAGTGTCTGTTCAAGATCGTCTGTTAGAAAACTAGCGACTTCTTCACTTGAACTGGCATGCAATGTCATCTTCTTGTCTCTGTCGGTACTCTGTTGCTCTAACGTCCAGAGGTGATTGCAGGGGTGGGTATCTTGAGTTGCTTGGGCTAGGAGTTGGTTGTTGAGTAAGTGGTGGTGGCCGGCGACTTTAAGCATCTTGCATTCATTATGTAGATGGTCTATTGATGTAAGGCGAATGGCTCCCGTGGCTGTCCGTAAAGCAGTGTTCTGAATCGTTTGTAGTTTCTGTTGGTTAGTTTTACTGATTATTGGTGTCCAAGGAGGCGAGGCGTAGTCCATACATGATCTTCCGATGGCACGATAGGTTATCAGTTGTGTTTCTTTATCTTGCCCCCAGTCAAGTCCTGAAAGCGCACGGAGTGCGTTGTTTCTTCTGGCTACTTTCTTGCAGACGTTGGCTGTGTGTTGTCCGAAGGTCAGCATGGTGTCGTATGTCACTCCCAGTAGTTTCTGTGTCTTTTCAAGCTTCAGCTGGGAGTTGAACATAGCAACTGGCGGGTGCGTCCTGGCTTGGCGAGGGTCAGGCGTGAAAAGAGTGACTGTTGTCTTCTCGAGGGACACTATTAGTCCGTTGTTTTCCAAGAAGTCGTTTAGTCGAGAGAGGTAAGACGTTATCTTTTCACTGGCGAGGTTAATGTTGTTGCTGGTGATGTAAACAATTATGTCGTCGGCGTAGGTCTTCAGTCGTGTCGGGTGGTCTGGAACAGGCATTTTGCTCATGATGAAATTGAACAAGCAAGGGGAGATGCACGAGCCTTGCGGCACTCCCGTGTGGACAATCTTGGCGTTGGAGATCGCATCTCTGAACAAGGTGCGGGCCATTCTACCTCGGAGGTAGACAGCGAGCCAGCGAGTCACAGCGGGGTTGAGAGTGGACTGGAGCAAGTGTCTCAGAAGCTTGTCTATATTGACGCGATCAAAAGCTTGGCTGAGGTCCACGGCTGCCAGAACAGTCCTGTCGGGCGGTCTTTTCTTGTTGAAGCCTGTGGCGATGTCATGGGTCAGGTGGCATAGCAATGTCGTGGTAGAATGCTTTGCCCGAAATCCATGTTGGTGAGCGGCGAGAGGAAGCGAAGAGAGGTCTTTTGCTAGGAGCTTCTCCACGACTTTCTCGAGTGATATATAATATTGTAGCCCTTTTCATTGTAATTCGAACGACATTATTTAGAAAAAAGCTTGTCCCAGTGTCAAGTTACGTTTGTTTTTACACTTACGAGACCAAGTGTCTTGTAATCTGGAACAAGACTTTTTTTAACCATAAAAAATTTTTCTTACAATTTTTGTAAGAAATAAAGATATACCTGCTGCCCTGCTCGTATTATGAAAAAACTAATGAAACTAACGAGTACTTACTAGGGGGTAATTAGTTTCATTAAGTAAATTTATAGAAAAAGCAAGGACAGCCGATTGCTGTGCAAGTAGCAAAAAATGTTCCGACCATTATCATAAAAGAATAGAAATTTTAATCTATTTTTCTGCAAATTAGTGTCAATTTCAGTGGGTGGTGTGATTCGAGAAATATACGATCGATCACGTAGAAAATTAGTGAATTAGGCATGATCGACATTTCGCATCAATTAAAAAAGGATAAACAAAAAATGAAAAAATAATTTTTTCTTACATTTAGCACATTAATCCTGAGTTTTTAGAATTTTTTTTTTGCTAACTAAGCGCTAAGCGAAACATGGAAAACTAGTTTTCTTTATAGTAAAATCAAGTTTTTTCCGAAAATTCTAAAAAAAAGTAAATTTCCATATAACGAGCGTTACTCGATTGCGTTGCTCGCTCGAAATTAGTCTAAAGTTCATCTTTCAAACAAGTTTTTCTCCATACTGGGAAATTTTTTTGGGAATGTCATAATGTTTTTCGAGTACCAACTGAAAGCATTGCGTAGATAAAAAACTAAAACACTCCCGAATACAAAGTAACTCCCCATTTTCAATGGTCGGAGCAAAAACTGGTTATTTAGGATTAGTTGTTTTTGTCTTAATTCTTGTCGGCTCACTTATTTTTTTTTTCACCTAAAATTACGTTATCTCATACGGGTTTTCATTGGCTTCCTTTTCGAAACATGGTTTTATTGTTTCACAAGTTCAACTTGTTTTACCATTGATCATTAACATCCAGGCCGGACCTTGCATTTTCCAGTATGCATGAAATTGATTATTTTGTTTTTCTGCTCTTTTTTGTCGGCTTAATTTCCAAAGCTTGGAATTTTTCGATTTAAACGACTCCTACTATAATTGACGAGCATCACTCGTCCTGTTGTTTTGTCAATTTGCCTTGACGGGTTTGATGTGTTAAAATTTGTTTTTTGAAATAATGCCTGATTATTTAATATCTTTTGAACTGCAAAACTTGATTATTGTTATTTTAATACAATTCATGTCGGTTTTAACGTAATTTTTTTATGACAACAATTCATTATAGCATGATGTTTTGTTTTTGGCTCAATTGTCTTCTATTTTGCGTGTTTTTAGAATAGTGGGCGCTCGTTAAATACTAAAAGTTCACCTGATGATGTGGTTGTGCTTCTCGACAGTTTTTTTTCTGAAATTGAGAAAATTGTCTTCAATTAGTTGTTTTTTTTTTCATTTTGATGCTTTTGAAATTTCGTTTTTTTTTTTTGGCTTAAATTTTGAAATCCTCAAACGAAAACTACTTTTGGAAGCTTCATTTAGCACTTTCTTGGCAAAAAATTTCAATAATTATTTTGCAATAAAATTAGAAAAAATTTTCATTTTTTGGTATTCTTTTTTTGAAGAAGACTGCTGTTGATTGCCTCATTTACCAGTTTTATGTGCGTGTGTATAATTTTCTCAACACACAACCCACAAAAAACCAAACTAATTTGAAACTCTTAGTGAGTTTTTCTAAAGTTTTTTTAAGAATGTTGTCGGAACGTTAATGTGCTACTTGCACAGCCTCCGGCTATTCTGATTTATTTTTTGGGCGTGGGTAGAGAGACGAAAACAAGGCTTAAAACATCATTACTCACACAAATTCACAACAGCTATCTATGAGAATGAATAATGGCAACAAAATTTTTTCGAAATTATCAAAGAGTTATTTTAGGAGTGTTAAACTTATCGTGCCGTAAAAGACACTTAGTTTTTACAGCTTAATGAACTTGAATTCTACTCGCTCTTCGCTTACAGCTTAATTAACATTTTAATTGTACTTTTTTTTGGATTACTCTCTTTTTTATCCGAAATTGGACTAAGATCATAATTTTCAAACCGGTTTCCGAATTTTTTTTTTCAGATGTCAATCGAAGCAGGACTTATTGAGATTTATCATAATTTAGCACTCGACGCGTACTTCCCTCCATTTTGTGTGGAGAAAAATACACTGTTTCAAGTTTATGGATCAGATAAATAAATCAAATAAAAGGCATGAGTTACTGGACCAGTAGGAGAGAATGTCCGAATACAGGATTTCAGCGTTATTAAACAGAATTTCAGCTTCTGGAAGTATTTTTTAAGCCTTAGTAGTATAGCTGTAGCATACTCATTCTTACACATGTACACTGATGAAAACATGATATAGGGGCTTTTTAGCCTCCGGCGATCACCTCTTAAATGTATGTCCATTGTGACATTCTGTAAAAGCTCAAATGTTGAAAAATGCTCAGATTAAAGTGATCACTTTTTTCGCTTTTTTCTCCAACTGTTTGGTTGCCTATTGGGTATGTTTATTTTTGTCAGTGGATTTAAAAAAATAAGAGCGTCTGAACATTTTTTAATTTAGAATATTGAGCTGCATTTGTATAATCATCACCAAGAATTAGTAACAATTCTTCAAAAAGTCTGATGAGCACCGGTATTTTTTGTTAACATTTGTATCAATGGAGCCGCGTCCAAAATTTTAGCCAGAAACCTCATTTGCTCGTTGCTTCATTGGGCCAAAGTTATAGAAGCCAAATATTACTTGAACCATTTAAATTTGAACCAATTACAGAAATCGAAGTAATATATGTATTTTTAAGTAGTATTTTTGTTAGCCAGTTAATTGATTGAGGCGATTTAATGGAAATTTGAAGGCTTGTACTGATTTTTAGCTACGTGGGAAAAAAGGAGGGTGGAGTGGACCAACACTCAAGTTACTTCATCATGTCTCTCACCCCCGGTGCTCCGAATCCAGAAGGAGGGTCTGCATCTGTCGGCAACTTCCAGATGATTCCAGTGAGTGCGTGGTTTGGAGCAACAACAGTGGCTGCATACAAGACACTGGATGAAGACGAAGCAGAAGAGGAGTTCAGTAGGTAACATCTAAGAGATAAGCGATTAGTTTGTGTTGTCCGCTAGGTATAAGAGACAAACATTGCGTTGTTCAATACAGACAATCACTGCTGTGCGCTTGACTGAAATCAACGTAAAATTTTATTTCATTAAAAAAAGATTGCCTTGCCCTCTCGTTGTCAAACAACGAGCATGGAATCATCTAGCTCTTTGTAATCCGAATAAATTTTTAGGCGTCCTAAAGTATTGTTTTTTGCTGGTTTTAATTGTACCTACGTTTAAGTTGACAATTATCCACGGTAGGATTAAGTATAAATGTTTACAGTTGCGTGAGCAGCTTTCCTGTACTCCAGAAAACTAGACTTTCTTTTTTCGGGTTCTAAGTTTTGGCATGTAATATTGTATCTGTGTTTACACAAGCGAAGCGTAGTGTTTTCTTACGAAGAACTTTTTTCTAACCTAAGTGGCAAATAAAAGATGACTCTTTTGGTATATTTCAATTTAGTCATATTTCAGCTTATTTAAGCATAAATAATTTACTGGCATATGTTGCTGCTTTATTTTGGACTAGTGTTAGGTCCTGTTTAAAAAAAACGTGTATTATGAAAATGCATGGGGTTTGTTTTTTGTTTTTTTTTCTTTGCGACGCTTAGAAAAAGTTTACTTTTCGATGAAATGGTACCAATGAAAAATGGCTGCTCTTCTATGTACCTGCATCTTTTGCTTGCCTCTTTTCATTTTACCTCACGTTCTTCGGCTTTCGAAAGTTTCAGGAAGGAGATTTTTGGCCTATTTGTTTTTGAGTTTTTTTAGTTTTCTCAAAAATTAAATGCACAAATTTGAGATGGTTTCAATCAAAAGAACGAATTATGGGGATCTCACTTTCTCCAGCGGCTATTCCCTGAAATTGGCAGAAAAAAGATATGACCGCAAACAAGACCATTTTTTTGACAATTCGTTTAATTTTTAAAACTGTTTGATTTTTCTCAAAAACTACCGTGCTAAATCGGAGATGAAGGCTTTAACCGTAATAAAAAAAAACATTTATGTGAATCCTCCAATTTTTGCCCGTTTTTTGGAAAGTTATTCTTTTTTCCAAAAACTAACCTGCTGTTTCTGCGGTTGAAATTTCATTAAAACTAACGTGGTGATTAGATTTTCCCTGCGTAATCTGTTTTACCCTGGTTTTTTTAGAACTTTTGTCACTATTCTCGAAAAATACTAGCTAAAGGTGATATCAAGGGTCCAATCTAAAAATCAGGGTGCGGAATTCTTCAATCTGCAAATCAAGTTGTGGAAAACAGAGGCTTTTGCCGTGCGTTAGTAGCGAAAATTTTGTAGATCTAGAAACTGCCAATTTTTTGATCGATTTTTGGATTTTTTTTTGAAAATTGCCCAGTCAAATCTGTGATAGACTTCAAATGATAGAGCGAGTAGTATTTTTCTCCTTTAATTATGCGGCTAATCCCCTACTGAAACAGAGAAAGACTCGGGTTAAGCGTATATTTTTTTGAATTTTTTTAAATTTTGTTTTAGTAAATAATATGATTAAAAATCTTAGAATAGGTAGATTCATTATTAGCTGGGCCACTAGTTTGTTTCCAAGCGACCGTGCTGACAGTTTTGTTAAAGCGTAATGAACGTAGCGAGTACTCTTATAGGTCTTACCGATTTTTTTTTCAGGAAAATTCATAAATACTCTAATAACTACAGATGTGCATTCATACATATAAATGCATTTATGAATGGACTCAAGTATATATGCACTTTTTGAGTTCAATTGAAATTCGTGTGCGGAAAGTTACGTCTCCTAATACGAACGTGGAAATGGCGCGAAAAAAGGTGAAGAATTTCTATTTTCGAAAGTGAACCTAATTGTTAGATTTCCAACGGAATTAAAACTTTACGTATTGATCCAATTTTTCCAAGTTGGGTTAATGTTACCAAAAAAACGCGAGTCATAATTGTTCGAAAAATTCAAAGAGCTTAAGGGCATCTATTTTTTTCGTTGAAATTCGAAAGTTGAGTTTTTTTCAACAAAGTCAGTGTTTTTTTTTCTGTTTACTTACGTTCATTACTCTTTTCCAGTTGTCAGTTTGCTATGCTTATGTTTTTTTTTTCAAATTTGACATTAGCTGGTTTGACGAATTTCTTTAGTTTCAATTTATTTGCTAAAGCGAATGCAAATCAAAATCTCTTCTTATACAAGTGCAGATGGCGCGCAAAACATGTTGAATTCTGGTTATGAAAGAGAAATTTTATTGTGAACGTAGTGAAGATTTTTATGTATCTTGATGATTTTTTTTCAATACAAAGCCTTAAAATTTGCTCTCGCTCAATTTTGATTTTTTGAGGTTTGACTTTTGATTTTTTTAAGTCCAGTGCGTTTCTTCTGTTAATAGGAAGACACACTCCACTTTCGAACGGCAAAATTGTAAAGTTCACCAATAACGTGATCGACTTCTAATTTCGTAAATGGAAATTAATTATCAGATTTCCCAGAGAGATAAAGGTTTTACCTATTGATCCAGTTTTCTCAAATTGGGTCAATTTTAACAAAAAAGTGTCCATCATAAATTGTTCTACAAATTCAAAGAGCGTTAAGATCATCTATTTTTTTCTTCGAAATTCACAAGCTGAAGGTTTTCGAAAAAGAAGTCGATTTTTTTTTCAGTTTCCTTGCGTTTATTACTTTATTCCAACTGTCAGTTGGCTATGCTTTCCATTTTTTTGTCGGTTGTTTGTGCATGCATGGTCTGAGGAGATGTACCTAAAGAATCTCAGAGCATTAGTAATGGTTGAAGAAAAGTAATTTTTTCGAAAGTTAACGGTAAAAAATGTATTTTTTTTCTAGAATTTTTTAAATTTAGCTGGCGAGGAAGCTTTCAAAGTTCAATTTGCAGATTTCTTTCTACGCGATCCGGTTTTTCTCTTTTCCTGAGAAAATTTGGGTTTGAAGATTTATCTGGATTTTATCGAAGTACGATTAGATCGAAAGATCTATCGAAGTACGATTAAAAGAGCTTAAATTTGATAAATCACTCGACCCATTCTAGCAGTTTTTGTGGTAACCCATTTTCAGTGGTCGCAGCCAACCTAAGTTGATACTGTAGTTGATTATGGATTTTATAACAGCATTGGCCGTTATTGTGAAATATTATTTTTTTCTATGAATTAGGAGAGACAAGATCCTGAATCACTTCAACCTTATGTTGCAAAAAAGACTGAAGGATGAGCAGGCAGACGACGAAGAAGATCAGTCTTCTGCCATAGGAAAGTTAGTTATCTAGCATTTCTTAGGTTAAATTATGGGCCGATAAATGGGTGTTTTGGCAATGGCCAGATTATCTGTTTCAACGGGCAATTTCTTTCAATTTCCGTTCTTGGCCCAACCAGCGCGGAAAGTACATTAATACAAGTACATTAAAAATCGAAATCACAAAATATGGAAATGAATTTTTTGCATTGACGGAACGATCTTAAATTTTACCAGGACACGATAACTGTGATGATGCAGTTGAGTTTTAGGTTGAATCCTTCTGAAATGGGTTTAAACTCAATGAAGGAAGCCAGCCTTTCTTCTGGAGGTTCCGCTTTCCTGAAGAGTCTGGGTGCAGAGAAGGGAGGAAACTCGAAAGTGTATTACAAAAACGTATTGAAGACAGCTTCATCTGCACTAGTACGTAACGAAACTAGAAAATTATCGGAAGCTAATTAATTAGAAATACTAATTATAGTTGGAAATTAGGCAAGATAAAATAAACATAAAATAAACTCATTTTTCTTGACACTGATCAAAAGATTTTTCAAAGCCAGTCCATTTAGGATTTACTGAACGCACTTTAAAATGACATGGAACAGGGGCGGATCTAGGATTTTCTCGAGGGGGGGGGGGCGCGGATTTTCAAAAAAAAATCATATTTTGTCGATTGATTTTCCGAGCTCTCCCAAAGCATTAAAAAGTGCCTGTTTCGGCCAAATTTTCTGCGCCGCAGTCAAAATTTTGAAGAAACAGGCCAAAAAGGCGTTTTTAGGCACTTTTTGGAAAATTTTGATCAAAAAAATTAATTAGTATATATTGGCGCCTTCAGAAAATTTTTAGGGTCCGTCTGCCAAAAATGAAAATTTCAAAATAGTTCAAAAGGGGACCCTTTGGGTCGGCAGGGGGTCGAACCCCTGAGGTGGTGGGGGGGGGGGTCTGCATCCCCTGGCCCCCCTAAATCCGCCCCTGATATGGAAATTGATCCATTGATAATTGTTTGTGGTACTTGATTTTGTATTGAAAAAAAAACATCCAAAGACAAAATTGCATCCAACTTTCAGTGGTAGGAAATAAAATCATGCTATGGCCGTTCGCCATTCACCTCTTCTATGATTTAAAAATCTTGAAATAGTTGAGGTACTATAATTTTTGGTTTGGTTACATAATTTTCAATTTCCTCGTGCCAGAATATTTTTATTTACTCATTTTTGTCTGACAATTGATCTAATACCTTTTTTTGCTTCAGAAAATCTCAGATTACGACGACGACTACATGAGTTCATCGGGAGAAGAAGAAGGTAAGATTTTCTGAAGAAATAGTAGTGAATGCTTTGAAATTGTGGATCTACTTTACAATTGCCCCCCTTTCAAGAAAGGGGGGGGGGGCAATTGTTAAGTAGATTAAGCTGTCCAATTTTCGGCCAATCAGATTGCAGCAAAGTTCGAATTTTAAATCCAACGCTCTAGTGCTAATTTACTGCTGTTATTTATAGCGGTGGCAATTCTTTAGTAGATGCCGAAGGGAGGGCGATTGTTAAGTAGATCCGAAATTGCTACCCAGTCGACCCAAACTAACAATTTTACTGCCAATATACAACGCGAATTAGGTTTCAAATGTAAAAACCGCCTCAAATTGCAACACATTCAAGTTAAAAAATCAAAACCCGAAATGTGCCAAATCAAATAATCTGGTAGGTCTATGTTCGTTTCTCGTCAATAAAGTAATAAAGAATGTTTTCAAATTTGTTTAGAGGGTGGTTTTGACGACGACGAGGCCTCGGGTGGTGGTAAGAAAAAGAAGAAAGGAAAGAAGGGTACAGGGGACGATGCAGATGAGAAGCCTATGGTGGTGGGGGGTAAGAAGAAGAAGAAAGATGGCCAGTCTGCTGTGGAGGGGGAGGAGGGGGACGAAGTGGAGGAGGAGAGTGACGATGGGGATGTGGAGGGGCTGGAGTATGACTACAACGAGGCAGAGAGCTCCCCCAGGTTTGTTTGCTGTTTAGAATGAGGAGAAGATGAATGAAGATATAGGGAGAGAAAAAACAAATATTCAGCTGATCGTACGAAATTAACGGACACGATTTTTCCTTAAGCAAATTATTCGAAGTTCAGCGTACAAAAATTTTAGAACAGTACCGATCATTTTAGTTTCCTCGGCAATCTATCACCAACAACGGTAAAACTTTGGTATGCGATGTCATATATCCAAAATTTATTGCATCAACTCATGCTTATAATTAATATATAATTTTTGAGCCAATCTGTGTCCGTGCCCGCAAGTATTTGCTCGTTTTCTCATTGTTTTAAAAAAATTTCAGCGACTTGCAATTTTCTCTCATTTCAGTGAGGGTGAGTCGGAAGATGAAAACGAGACTGTAGCAGATGACAAGAAGGCAGTGCCAGTTGAGATGGACAATGTGATTGAGGAAGAGAACGAACTGGATCAGCCGGAAGAGGATGCAGATGCAAGCAATGATGGCCACAAGGGAGGGGAGGGGTCGGGAAAAGGGGCGGACGAAGATGGAAGGGGCGGGAAGAACTCGGGCAAAGGAGATGCGGGCAAAAGGAAAAGAGGTAAAGATGGACGTAAAACATTGCTGCCTTGATTATAGAAAGATATATTTAGATATATCTAGTGTCGAGTTGAGCAAGTCTGTTAATTTGGTTTCTTGGCACGTTATTATTTTGAAATATGTTTTGCTAGATTGGTCCTCTGATATAAATCAAACTGTTCTAATTCGTAGTGGATGGTTTAATTGTAGGTACTGCCAATTCCTCTCCGAATGACTCGAGTGATGACGACGATGACTCAGACGAGGACCCAGACAACGTCACTTCTATCCTGTTTCTCGCTGTAAGAACTGAACCACTCGTAAATATTCTACAGATAATAAGACCATGACTAATACGGTCGGTGAACTCAAAGTTTGAGCCTGAACATTATTTTTTTTCAAGTAACGTTATTTTTTTTTCAAGAACAATTTGTCGCAATGATACAATTTGCTTCAAATATTTCGATAATGGTCTTGAAATACTTTCTTATCATGCACTATTGAAAAAAATCAACGACTTTTTGAAACCAAAATTTAGTCGATCGCTTTCGTTTTAGAGCTCAAAACTAGGGAAGGAGAAATCAGAAGGCGAAGGTCAAAGTAGTTCATCGGGGAAGACTTCTGCTGACGGTTCTTCTAAAGGTGCTAATGGAACATCAGCCGGGAATGGAAGCGCAGCTGGTCCGAATCTGACTGAGAAACAGGCGAAGACAGCTGCAGTGCTCTCCAGTGCAAAAGTTGACACTCCATCGACAAGTAGTGAGTTGAAAGACGCTGAAAATCTTGAAACCTGGAGAAAGAAGATGGAGTCATTGCTAAGGAGTTGTACAATAGTCCGAGACTTTCAAAATTTCGAATATCTCAATCAGCCGTTAATCTGACATGGGCTAGATTTGGGCTGAAACTATAACTCGTCATAAATAATATACAGACATTCCAAATATTTGGTAGGTTTGTTATATGTTATTCGGTATCGCAACACAAGACAACTCGCAAAGTCTTAAGAAAAAACAACTCGCAAAAAGAGACAATTCGTGTAAAACTCGGATTATAAATTTCTTTGATTATGAAGGGGCTTACAGATCAAATTTAATTGAAAGAGTTTCCAGCTGCAAAATTACATAATATCATTGTTTTGGTAGTTTTTAAGAGTTTGTGATATCTTTTTTGTAATTGTGCATATTCAGCACATATATAGGGCTTTTCTCCGGACTTGAACCGAATCAGGCAATTTTCGGTTTAACTTTGCTGCTTCCTTATTTGCTGAATGACTTTTGTTACAATGGGGTGAGCATAACCCATTCCTAGTTGAGACCCTCTCCGCCACTCTTCGACCGAATTGTTGAAATTAATTTCCGTTTATCGCATTGTTGAAATGATTGTATATAGCTAGTTGGAAACCTGGATCTTTTCGTAGAATTTGACGTATATGTTCCACCACCTAAGTTTTTTCGAAATAGTCGAGATAAGACCGGAGCTGCAACTTCAAGTCGCATTCAGGATTGAGAGCCAGCGCAATATAGGATTTCACTTTCTTTCTTTACTCGTTGTCTTTTCTGTATTTAGGCGCCAGTCCTAATTCTAGTATTTTCGCCGGTTGGCCTGCGCAAAATGAAAAAGTACCCTTTTACAGACGTGCTTTTTCGAAATCAATAACAACTTCTGTTGGCTCTAATAATGGGTTAAGTTCACGTAACACCCAAAATGCTTTTTGGTGTTGCTGTTGAGTTTCCGTTGAATCAGAAAGTGAATCATTGGGAGAGAGCAGTTGTTTATAGCAGTATGTACAGTATATACTTGATAAAACAAATTGGGCATCAGCGTGCCAAGTTGTGTAGGGCTCGAGAATGTCCGAGTGGCGAACTCAAAAAGTCGGTCGCAATGTTTTTGCCCCGAATCATTATCCAAATTCCTGAACCCCCCTTAGTGTTTTTTGAAATTCCATGGGGATTGACATATCCCACACGGTCTTTGGCACAACTCCAAATTTTCTTTCGCGTTTAATCGCTTTTGCAACCGACGTAAATTTCGGCATTTTTGCTGCGCACTCCCCAGACAATATAATCGTTACGTTTTGATACAAAGATCGGGGATGTTCTTGCTTGTGTTGCCATTGTTTCTTCGTTTTTTGCATGACGCTAAAACATTTTGGAAAGTTGTCATTTTGCCCTCAGATGTATTGCAAACAGTTAGGGTTAATTTTTGAGGTTTGTTGTTGCATGCATTCCCACACGATTTTTATTTGCTATGCACGCCTACGGGGTCATGCTTTTTGTGACCCTTTTTTGAAATGAATTCGTTTGAAATGAATGAAGACCAAGATTCGTTTTCTGCGCTGACTTGTAGTGAATTGCAACAATATTTGAATGAGAGTAGAAACATATATAGAAACCAAAATGATGATTTTTTAATTAATGCAATCAAGGTTTTGGACTCACTTTTTGGTGTAAAAGAAGCCAAAAGACTCATATCTTTCCCAAATACTTGCTTTGAATTAAGTATAAATATACCGAATATTTAGTGGGGGATTACGGGTGTTAAATTAGGGGTCATTAAGTGATTATCTTACGAGTTTTTTTTTTAGAGCTATCGCGTTTTGCGAGTTGTCGTAATTGCTAATTTATGCGAATTGTGTTTTTTTGCGAGTTGTCGTATTACGATGTAACACCGAGTGAAGGTCTAGTTTTACTCTTGAGTAAGATTATTTTTTTTATTCAAAAGAGTAGAAGTAAATCTTTTTGTAGTCTTGAGGACAATTTTGTTAGCGTTGATGATTGTTTAGGTGGGAAACGGAAAGCAAGAACAGACTCTCCAAAGGAAAGCAAGAGAGCGAAAACAGAATCTAAGTCGGGGTAAGTTGACAACCAGTTTTAGTACGTTAGCTACAAATCAGAAATGAAAAAGCGAAGGTGAAATTTAAACTCGCGTTTAGTCTGTAAGCATACTTTTATAATCAATGAAAATTGGTCGCAAAACATTTAATTTGTTCAGCTCTGCTCTTTCTATTCCGTGTTCGTGTTACGGATGTCTTTATAACCTATTGCGACCTCTGGAAAAAGTCTGATTTGAAATCAATGTCTTTTTTTGGTGTCACCTATTGTGTTTAGTGACTCTCTGGAGGAGCTGATCAAGAAGTACGTGAAGCGCAAGCCGACTGCCACTGGGGAGCTGCTGATCAAAGTGAAGAAGAGTAAACCTGACTTGAGTAGTGCAGAACTAGTTAAGCTGCTGGTGGATACCATGTCCAATCTAGGAGTGAAGAGCAAGACTCTCAATGGCAAGACTATGTGGTACATGAAGGAGGAGAAATGAAATGAAAATAAAGGAAGTGAAAAACGAGTCTATCCTCATTCGACCCTTATATAACCATATAAGTAAGGCACCCACAAATAATAAAAACACCTACAGACACCAGTCTTTGGATACGACTTCCTTGTCATTTGCGTGGATACTATCAAAAGGCATTTCTAGTTTTTCTTGCATTTGAAGTCTTCATATTGTAGAGAAAATTAACTTTTTGCGTGGTCATATTATTGATGCTGAGTTTGTAAGAAAATCTGGAAGACTTGAGAGAGAACGAATGGATGGAGAGAAAGTTGCGTTTGAAACCCCAGCAAATCAACTTTATGAACTGAAACTGTTATTAATCTGCTAACATCGCTAGTTGCCTATAGTGATAATCGGCAATATCGATGGGAAAATTGACAGATTAAATGTTTTGAAGCTTGATTTGAATTTAATTTTCTTTTGCGAAATGATCTTCTAACTCATATGCTGTATTTGGATATATAAGCGTTGTCCATCGATGCGTGTTAACTGAAATTTTTGATAAATTGTTTTCGTATTTTTAAATTTATTTTCTCGTGTTGAATAATATAGCTTTACTTCGATGTTTTGAGGAACTAGATCTCGAATTCTAAGAGGATTTAATACCACGCTGGAAAAGTTAATGAAGGAAATGATTGAGAGTCTTTGAACCTTTGAAGACTCTTATATAGTTAGTGTTGTTTAAGAGTCGATGATCGTAGTTCACACTCTTATATAGGTCGTGATGAGTTTTTCTTGGTTAATGGTATATGGTTTTTCAAAATTGAATTTTTGTATAATAATGCTTTTGGAAGCAAGTTTTGTTATCTTTCAAAAAAAAGCAAATAATTCGCATTCTGATTTAGTTGCTTTTTGAGTTTGATTGAATATTGAGCGTGAAAAATACCTATTTTGATCGGGAAAAGTTTGTTGATGGATTATTACGTGTCAGTACTAAACAATTCATTACAAAGCATTTCAATACACATTAATCCGGAAAAGTATGAAAATGGACGAAAAAACAGTCAGATACAAAACAGTCTGAAAAACAGTAGGTCTAAAGCCGGTAGACAGAGAATTGTCTTTGGTACAAACAACATAAAAAACGAAAGAAAGACCGCCGTAGTCGTGCCAGTGTTTCGCGAGCTTGCCAACAGAGGGTAGGAATATATAAACATTAGAGCCGGTTACCGCCGAAATGAGGAGACGCGCGCCCACCAGAGACCTCAAATCGGACTGTTTTGGAATTTTCTGTTGGATCCCTTCCTTTCATGATTTTTTGGTTGTTTTTTATATGCACCGATTATCATTATACATTATCCGTAGTTTCGAGTATCAAAAAATTAGTTGTATTTTTAAAATAAGAAATCCATAGTGAATTAGACAAATCGGGCGACAGTTTTTGAAGAAAAATGACGAGAAAAACCAATAATAGCTTCAAAAAGAATTTTTTTTGCAGAATTTTTTGAAAATTTATCTCCATAATGGCGTTAATTAGTAAAATTGAAATTCAAAATCAAATTAGCTATTTTAAACAGCCTAAATTAAGCAAAAATAACCCTGATTTTTCGCTTTGCTTGCTCACAAGTAAACGAAAAATCAAAAAATATAAAAAAAGGTTTTTCTTCACACTGGGAAAACTTGTTGGTCTTGACACTGGGAAAACTTGTTGGTCTTGACACTGGGAAAACTTGTTGGTCTTGACACTGGGAAAACTTAATGGGAATGTTTAAGTTTCATTCTAATCACGACTGAAATGGCTTTCAATACAGTATAGATCTGTAGTGAGCGTTAGTGTAATAAAACTACTATTCATTTTTTCTAACTTAGGTCGCGAATAGCATTTTCTTAGACATTCGAATAAAATTCAGTTAACACGGTTGATGCCTTTTTCATTTATCAAATGAACCAAAAAAAAGCTATTTGTTTCAAACAACAACAATAAAAAAACTCGATCTCAGAAAATTTCCTGCTCGTTTTATCTCGCTTTTTTTGAAATGCTTAGTTATTTATCACGTGGTTATATGCTTTCCATTTTATTACATGCAAAATAAGTGTGGCAGCCTTCAGTTTGCTGTTCCAAAATTTTACTTGTAAAATTGTGTCTATTTTCATTTAGTGCCATTTTTGCTGTATAGCGTTGGCAATTTATTAGCATTTGTAGCTTTTTATTTGTGATTAGTGTTTGTCAATTGTTAAGCGTTCGTGGCCGGGCGTGAGACTTCAAATCTCCAGGTCGCAGGTTCGAAGCCAATATGTAGAAAACTTTTACTAATTCGAGGCTTATTTCTTTTATGGCTTATTTGTATTTCACCTCAAAAAAAATGTTTTTTTTTTGTTGTGTTCTCGCTAGTGTTTGCGAAGTACAGCTTTGCCTCTGTGTATGATATAGCACTCAACCGAGTCCGAGTATTATTTGTGGTACCTGATTTTGTGTGAAAAAAATTAAAATGCACCCGAATACAAAGTTCCTACCTATTTCAACTGTGAAAAAAATAGAAAACAACATTTCTCACAAAACAATTAGTTTATCTCGAACAACAACTTTGAAAACATTATGAACCCCCTGAATTAAATTGTAGAGCGAAAATAGCCACCACCAAAAACATCCCTCGAACTAATGCAGAACCTATTGATCCTTTAAAACTAACAAATAAAGGTTTGAAAATGAACCAAAAAATGGTCTTTACTGCATTGAGCCGCGGCAATGGTTTTTTAAAGTTGAATCTATCTAAACGAAATATCTATCGAGACAAATCCTTTGCGAAATGAACAATTAAAACCCAAAAAGTGGAATTGAAATTCGCCATTACAAACAGTTCGCCATCACAAGTTCGCCATCAAAAACATTTAAAAAACAGAACGATAACTACTAGCAGAGTTATGGTGAAGATAAAAAGCGCTTTCATTTATTTATCAAATCAGAATATACAGAACATAGTTTTATTGGGATATTAGTTTGCTTAATCAAATCTCTTGAAACCTTGACCAGTACTGCACGCGCACTCCATTCGCACGTACTGGCCTGTTAAATTTCTTTGATATTGAAATTAAACTAGTGACTTCTACTATTGCCGCATTCTTTACCCTTATGATAGCATGGCATTGCAATCGGGTACTAGAAGTTTTTCCCGTAAGCAACTTTGTCCACAGGGCTTACTTCTGGGCTCCTTCACATCTTCGTCCTCTTTGCAAATCCTACTCCTCTCAGTTGCAAATATTAAGCATGGTTAAGATTGTGATTTTAAATACCCATCCTGTTCAAAATTTGCTTTATGTCCAACTAGATTTGTTAAAAATTTATATTGTTCTTTTTATCTTTTTTCGGCTTAATAGGCTCTGGCCTAATTTGTGGTGTAACAAATTTGTTATGTTCTCCTCTGAATTGCACTAAATGCTAAAAAAAATCTTGATATAAATTACAATTTAAGTTTTTCATGACAACAATCTTTTTCGGCGTTTTTAGTTTTTTCTTTTTTTGTTCGGCATGATAAGCTTCGGCCTATATTATATCGCTTTAACGGACGCATATTGCGCCTCTCGATAGGCGAAAAAAGTTTAAGTGTGGGTATTTGTGTTTTGACGGTGAGGGCGACTTAAAAACTTTTTAGGGGTCAGTACGACAGTGCCGAAGTAAAACAGTGCCGAAAAAAAATTTGGTTTAACAGTGCCGAAAATTGAAACTTCGTCCAACAGTGCCGAAAATATGAACAAATTTCAACATATTAAGTGCGGCAATCAAAATCAGAAATTAAACGGCGAACATTTACAATCTTAAGTGGCACTTAAAGATTTTGGGAGAGAAAATTTGCAATTTAGACATTTTGGCGCCAAAATAATTGTTTAATTTGATGTTGCAGACATTTAGGCGCCAAAATTGGAGTGATTTTTTAAAAAATAATTAGCGTCAGTAATTTCTCGCTCTTTAGAAAATGCGTTTAAATTATTTTGAAATTTTCCCGCTTTTTTCAACACTGTGTATTTTGGCACTGTTGAACGCTCCCCTTTTTAGTAGCCTTAAATTTTTTTTTCTTTTTTTTGGCTTTGTTTTTTTTCTCTTCCTTTTTTGTTCGCGTAATAGGTTTTGGCCAAAATTATATCGACATAGTGGCCGCATATTGATTCATTTGACGCGTAAACAAAATTTGCGTGTGTATGTCAGTTTTTTTTTGTTGTTTGACGGTGTGGAGGACTTCATAATTAAAAAAAAATTGTCCTAAAGGGTTTCTGCTAAAGTATTTCCGGCTTTGTTACCGCGAGTTTTCCTTTCGATGCTAGTTTCCCATTCTATTGTCTTGGCTCGTTGTTGTTGTTTCAAAACTAGCCTTTTTGATAGAAATAGCCTTTTTGATAGATCTAGGCGAACATCTACAATCTTAAGTGGCACTTAAAGGTTTTGGGAGAGAAAATTTGCAATTTAGACATTTAGGCGCCAAAATAATTGTTTAATTTGAGGTTGCAGACAATTAGGCGCCAAAATTGGAATGATTTTCTTCAAAAATTAGCGTCAGTAATTTCTCGCTCTTTAGAAAATGCGTTTAAATTCTTTTGAAATTTTCCCGCTTTTTTTGGCACTGTGTAGTTTGGCACTGCTGAACGCCCCCCTTTTTACTAGCCTTAATTTTTTTTCTTTTTTTTCGGCTTTGTTTTTTTTCTTTTTCTTTTTTGTTCGCGTAATAGGTTTTGGCCAAAATTATATCGACATAGTGGCCGCATATTGTTTCATTTGACGCGTAAACAAAATTTGCGTGTGTATGTGTGTTTTTTTTCGTTGTTTGACGGTGTGGAGGACTTCATAATTTAAAAAAAATCGTCCTGAAGGGTTTCTGCTAAAGTATTTCCGGCTTTGTTACCGCGAGTTTTACTTTCGATGCTAGTTTCGCATTCTATTGTCTTGGCTTGCTGTTGTTTCAAAACTAGCCTTTTTGATAGATCTAGTTCGAGTTTTGTATCGCAAGTGGTGCGAAGCTCAGCTTCGCCTCTGTTTTTAAAATTATATCAGTTCTCCTTGTCTCAAGTTTTTTCTTCGAAAAATGCCCTTTTTAGTCTATTATTATCTGTCTGCTTAGCTTAAATTGCCTAGCATAAATTTCATTGAGATTGGGATTATTCAATTGGCATAACCAAACAGAAAAATACCACAGAAAGTTTTTTGAGAAGGAAGCTTTGGAATTGAAGAAGCCAATTGAAGTAGCCGAAACAATAATATCATTAATTTTTTTTCACTTTCTTTGAAGTAGAACAATTTGCCCAGCACTGAGAAAAAGTTTATCCAATTTATAAAAGGGATCACTGTGTAACAGCGATATATGCAAATATGATCAACTCCATGGTTGACCTTTTTTCAAATGTGGTTCAAAGGTGTGCAAGAACAATTGAAGTTTTGTGTGTGACCGAAGCAGCCCTTTTGGAAGCTTTGGCTCAACGCAGAAAAATCTTTTGAATTTTATTGGAGACCTAGCAAACGTCAATTTATTTGGCCAGAGGACAAGCTGATGAAAAAAAGGTTAAAACAAAAGGCTTTAACTTTTGTTAGTTTTTTTTTTCACCAGCTGAACTCAACTGGCAATTAAAAAAACTCCGA